CTGCACCTGCGTTAGGACTTTCTTATTTGGACACCTTCATTTAATGTGACCATACCGGTCATATTTCATACAAGCACCTGGTACGAATATGTCCCTCCACACATCTTCCTCTAGCCCCTCTCTGATCCAACCTGGGACTCGAGAACACTTCCTTGTCCCCTAGCCTGGTTGCTCTTCTGACTACCACACCCATTAGCCTTGTTAACAGCCAGAATCTCTCCCTCAGAGTTTGTCTGGCTGATACTCGACTTTGCACTTCCCTCCAGGTCTGAAAGGTTGTCTACCTCTATCGGAGTGTCTGCATCTACAAACATGAGGTGACCCTTCTTCTTCCAGTCCTGGGGCAACTTCTTCCTTCTCCCATCTACTGACCACTGACTTGTGCTACTTAGCGTAGCCTCTAAGCCTAACGCCTTCTTGCTCAGCAAGGTAAAATCGTTCTTGTCAGTTGTGGCTTCCTGGATCACCAGAGCCTCGATCGTTTGTGGCAGACACCTCAGAAACGTGGTCAGGAGGATCTGCTAATCACACATCACTCCAAGGACCATGATCAGCTTCTCTAACTTTTCTGTGACCTTTTCCGCAGACTTGTACTTCTTCATGTCCAAATTCTTCAGCTCATCCGTCACATGCTGCGCTTGCTGGCGGTAATGGAATCTATCCTCTACCATGGCCATGAACTTATCAAGTCATATCTGCACTGCCCATGCAGCCATATCCCTGCCGTACGGTCCAGACTGTACTATGCAACTCAACCACCAAGCTACAGAGCCTTTTAGAAGGGATGCAGCACCGATCACCTCCTTGTATGGGCGTGTGTCTTTCATCCTCACATACACCGGGACAGTCCTGAGCCACATATCTAGGTTTCCATCCTTCTTATCCCCATTGAATGTATCATTGATGTGTTAGGGATCCACTGGGGCTGGCCGCCACCTACAGGCCCTATAGGCTGAGAGACTGGTGCCTGCACTGTAGCTGCAGCCACATGGGACTGAGAAGGTTGCATTGGCGCAACCCACAAGTACACCGCTGGTAATGGGTACCCCATATAGAGGAACGAACGGCCCCGACATGGGCGGCAGCAAAGATGGTGGAGGTGGAGGCCCTATGGGCTGTGCAACAGGCTTTGTCATACAGGAAGGAACACATACCTTTGTCTGCTGCCTACTCTCTAATATCGCTTTTCTCGCTCTCGCTCGTTTGTACTATCTTCTGCTTCCGCAGGTTGGTCAGCTACCTTTGAGCTTCGGCCTTGAGTCTCTGCAACTCAAAGTCTTCTGCAGAAAGCGGGAGTGACTGGCTGATCTGCAAACCATACATTCGACTAACCCCGGCACCCGTTGACCTGCCTACAGCCTAACTGGCACCCGCTTGGGTGCTATGACCTCAGGCCTGCTTGGCCATTGTCTGCAGCGCCGTTGCTTCCCTACCAGCAGTGCGCTGTGTATCCTGACCCACTGCCTCCTGACGTCAGACTTCCTAAGCCTTCTTTCGTCCCGTGCCTCAAATTGCACGTGGACTACAGAACGTCTACTGGTGGTCAGGCGAGCTACCCTCTGGCTGTCGACTAACTCCTCACTGCCTTCAGTGCTCATCAACTAACCCAGCATCTCCCTTCTCCAGAACTTATCTGTGTGTCCTCGCTCCCATCAAGCATGCACCCAATATTTTTCCAAAAGCCTCCGGCCACGTCCCTCTCTAACCAGGGCCGGACCACAGTAGCCAACAGCACGATCGCACTCACACACTGCACGGGAACCAAGCCCCAATGCACCGAAGAAACACATAGCTCTTGAGCCAAAGCAGTAAAGCCTACAAACCAGCTCCCATACCAAATTACGAGGAAAATGCGCACCACGAATGACAGAAACCAAATTGCATCATTCCATAGAAAAATCCAGATAGCCATGTGGTCGAACTGAAATCAAATTGCAACACTAGATACACCAAATAACAGCAAAGCACTGAAGTCGATTGTCAATGAAGGCCCTCTCCTCACCTCCAGCACCAATGTCCACAATGTCACTCTCCCATATGGCGCTCGGTGCCCAGACTACAATCAGACAGCACCTACCAACCTAGACTCAACAATGACAACAACAGGTCTTCATGAAGTTCAGCAGCCCGATAACGAATGAAGACTCCGCCTCTAGCGGCCAGGCAAGCGCCCACACGCATAACTCACCCCTCGTCTTCCCCACTCTGTCCCTCACCCAAGGACCACCGCTCAACCTCCCAGGCTATGGCACCAGCAGCCCGGTTATCGCTGATGCGCTCAGGTTGAGAACATCCCAGCTTCTTCCTCGTGCCCCCCGCCAGCGCCCTTCCAGCTTCTTGCTCGTGTGAACGGGCCTCGCCACACAGGACACGAAACAAAGAAAAGAAATGAGTGCATCTACCCACAGAAGGTGGCAAGATGCATTCATTACTATTCATAGCAAATGGATGATTCCTTCCAGCTTCTATGGGAAGCTGCACCCAGTTTTTTTTGTGTTTTGTGTGCCGTGTGGCAAGGCCCAACAACAAGGCACCATACTCATCCCGACTATAGACCTACTGTCCTTTGCCCCTTCAATTTATTTATTTATTTTTGCGGGGGGGTGCAATCACCACCTAGATCTCATCTCTGTACCACGCATCATTGCAATGGTTATATATTCCACATAAAAAACAAACATAAATAGACAATTGATTGCGCCCACACCAATACTCGTCAGCTTCGTCACAACCATCAAACTCCTCCAGCCTGGAGCAGCCCCGATGAGCTTCGTCACGAACTTTCATCATGCTCGGCCCAATCACGAGACGAGGCGAAGGAGTCTAAAATTTCAAAAAACAATTATTTGACTGCTTCGAGCCCTTTGCTCTTGATCGGCTAGCATGCATGATTGTTCCACGAAACCTCTGTGAAAGTTCATGCTTTTTTTGCTGTGCGATTCACACACTGTGGAAGTTCATGCTCTTTTCACTGTGAGATTCACACACGAACGTATATCGCAAAAGTTATGATGTGATCCGATTGGATTCAATTCTATTTGCTTCCACAAATCGAATCAACGATCCCATCCAATCTGATCTGATCTGATCCGATTGGATTCAATTCTATTCGCTTCCACAAATCGAATCACATCACATCAAATCTTCTGTTTTCGATTTTTTTTTATTTTGCTTGTACCCTCCCCGCTGAGGACAGAGTTCATCACATCGCAAGTCCAGCGCAGAAAAAAATACGAATAGCAGCGACGTCAATGACCGCTGATTATCACGATGACAGTAGGATTAGATAGCAGCAGCTTACCACGTGTAGGCCACAACATTGCCAACATCGAGCCCTTGTATGTCAGTTAGCACTCTGGGTCTTTCTTTTCCTTGTAGAAAAGAAGAAGAAGAAGAAGGTCCATGATGAAAGCAGAAGAGTTAGCACTCTGGGTCTTTCGTTTCCTTGTCAAAAAGAAAAAGAAGAAGAAGAAGGTCCATGATGAAAGCAGAAGAAGATTGATGATGAAAGCAGAAGACTGTTACATGCTGTGCCTGCACACGGGCCCCATTCCAGGAGCCTGACGGTTGCTGAGGGGCCCCCCGGGCCCCTTGCCTTTCAGACACGCGCCCTGGAGGCCCACGGTGGCCCTTAGGCTGCAGGTACGGATATGAGACAGCATTCATTCATTTATTTATTATTTAGTTGTTTATTCGCTGTTCTGTTTTTCGTCTGTTCAGACATCGTTTCGGACTTGCTCCCCAAGGCGACGCCTTGGGCTGGGTACACCAGGAGGCAGGGTCGTTGGACCCCAGATAGGGGACCCAAAATGGAAATAGCACCTTTGTCTAAAGTTTTCAAAGAAACTTCATACCCAAAACGTAAAAATGATTTAGCTATGAAATCATTAAAAACCTTATCAAATAAGGTCTGGACGCCCGATAGGGGCCCAGACCGTGTGGGCCGTTTTCAGGCCAACGCAGAGGCACACCCGGCTGGCCCAGTGCTACATATAGCTCGGCCTCGGCTGAGCAGACACAACGTTTGAGTAGCTCACTTCTTGGGCGACACGCTGCTGGACTGGCGCTGCAAGACTACAGCGCTGCACTAGGAGGTAGAGGTAGAGGCGTAGGTAGGCAGAGGGGCAGAGGCCATACCTGCAGCAGCAGTACTCACCTGGCGCCATAGCTGCGCTCCACGCCGGCGACCTGCACAGGGACCACAGCGGCAGTCAGTACATGGTGGCAGTTACCTGCAGGTGCAACAGCGAGGAGAACGGCATCTTCTTCGTCGTCGTCGTCTCACCCTCCATCTCTTTTCCTTCCTTCTCCTCCTCCTCCTTTTCTTCTTCTTCTTCTTCAGAGAGAGAGATTACAGGTAGAGGTTACATCGGGCATTTTGCCCAGGATCTGTTCCGACATTTTTGTGGCAGACATTGATTGGACATTCGACAAGGGACTATTTTTGGACTTCGCTATCGCGATCTTGGTCTTCTCCCTCGCCTCCATCTTCACCTCGCCTCTCCCCCCATCTCTCATCTGTGGTATCTCCCCCATATGTGTGTGCAAGGAGGGACCTTTCTTCTGTGTATGCGGGCCCTCCTCCCTCTCTCACACGTGTGGTGTATGATGGGATGTCGCATCAGTATCAGCTAGGTCAGGTCATATCTTTGAGTCTTCCACTGCGCTACATTGTGCTATTTTTGTATGTACCATGATGCACATTGCTTGTTGACGCTTTGTTGACATTACATTGTCCATTCTAGTCCGTTTCATCACTCCGCGGATCCTTGGCTCCATATACATTGCCCAACTGGGCATGTATCAAGATGAAGAAGATCGATGATGGAAGAAGAAGAAGAAGAAGAATGCCTTACCATGATATATTTTCATGCTTTTGCTTGTAAGTCAGCACTCTGGTTCTTTCTTTTCCTTGTCAAAAAGAAGAAGAAGAAGAAGAAGAAAGGGGAAAAAGAAAAGAAAAAAGAAAAGAAAAGAAAGGAATCCAGAACCAGGTTCATCTTTTTATGGTTTCTTGCAGAAACAACAACAAGCAGCTACAAGAAAGACGACAGCAAAACAGGAAGGGATTTTTTTTTATAAATACAATGAATAAACAAATAAATTCCAGAGAGAGAGCCAGCAAGGACGCAAAAAGAAAGAGCCCCTGAACAACGGAATTCGGGTCGGGATAGGCAACTTTTCTTCTGAAGTAACAAAACATTTTTTCTTCTTCTGAAGCTACAAAACAATAACAATGCAGTGAATGCACCTATGTATCTACTATCAAAAGGAGGAGGAGAAGGAGGAGGAGGATGAGCCTTTTTTTTTTTGCTGTTTTATTAGGCATTATATAATTTATCGATTTCCTTCATCTCGTTCTTGTCCTTGGCACGGCCGTACACGTCGATACTCAAGTCTTGTTTAATGTTGTCGTCATCATTGACGACGACCTCCTCGTTCAGCACCCTCTTCACTTCCAACGAGAAGTTGAAATCCGAACGGACGCTTCCCTCCTCCACCAGATGCCTGAAATCACACACACACACACACACACACACACACACACACACACACACACACACACACACACACACACACAATCATCCATCATTACCAACATCAGAAGACATCAGAAGACCTAATCATGACCACACATAATCAAAATCATACATGATCAACATCACCATGATCATCATGGTGATCATCATCATCACACATAATCATACCATACTACCGTCTTCCCCCGAATAGAACGCCCGGTCATTATCACCATATCTAGACTGAAAGTTGGACCCAATACAGCTGTAATGACCGGGGCGTTCTATTCGGGTGAAGACAGTACTACTAAAGCAGCAGCACATGGGCACCTGGGCCGCGGCCCTGACACCTCGAATTCTGGCAGCGCGCGAAACAAAAAAGCGACCGCAGCAGGAGAGAAGTTTTGCGGAAACTTCTGCTCACAAAAAAAAAAAAAAAAAAAGAAAGTTCTGCGGAATTTTACAATTTTTTGGAAGTTCTGATGGAACTAGGAAGGCACGGGAAGCTGGACCCGGTTTCCAGCACAAATTTTCCCGGGGGCCAAGTTCCACTAGCAGCGTTGAGCTACCTCAACGCCTGAATCTGGACATGTTTGTAGAGACATGCAGTTCAGGAAACTCAACACCAATTCTGCACATCTCCGCAAAAGCGTCCACATTCAGGCGTTGAGGTAGCTCAACGCTGCTAGTGGGACTTGGCCCCGGGTTGTTTGTTGAGGATTCCCGGCCTCTCCTATTTTCGCAATACAAGCATACAATTCTTCCAAAAAAAAAAAAAAAAAAAAAAAAAAGTGACCACCGATCCAATTTATGAACGGCAGGCCCAGCGCCAGCTTTTCTTGTGGCGACGAGTTTCGGACTGCAAGGCTGGGGCCGTGTACTACCTTCTTCACCCGAATAGAACGCCTGGTGATTATCACTGTATCTAGACTGAAAGTTGCACCAAATACAGCTGTAATCACCGGGCATTCTATTCGGGTGAAGACGGTAGGGGTGGTTTAAGGCCTGGATGCACACCACGGGCCATCAGCCAACATTTTGAATGCATACGGACAGATTCCATGGTAAGATTCAGTCAAATGTTGGCAGATGGGGAGTGGTGCAACGAGGCCCTTACTGAGAAACCCAATTACCTCACTGTGGGTTGGGAATCACCTATAGCTTTTTTTGGCTTCTTTTCTTTCATTTTTTTCAACTTTCAAAATTTCAATTCAATTCCATTCAATGTGATTCAATGTTGTCATCACTGGGTAAAAGCAGAGTCCGTGGTAGCAATGATAAGGTAATGGTATATTCTCACGACGTTGATTTCACACTCGAAAAAAGAAAAAGAAAAAAAAAAAAGGGATTTTTCATTTTTTACTTATTACCAAGTTATTAGTATTTACTGCTGTTAGTTGGGTTACTAGGGGACCCCCTCATTCTGGACGGAATCCTGCACTTTGTAGTTATTATTATTAAAAAATATATATATATATTGGCATTGCTTGTGGTAGGAAGGTAGTGAAAGGTGAAAAAGAATTTGAGAGAAGAACATAGTGAAACGGTATTCACCTGTGCGCAGTAGTGCAATCAGACTCGGATCATTCACACTTGTCTTGCATGCAAACAGCGATACAGCAAACTGGCGACATGCGCCCACACAGTACTCAAAGATATCGTAACCGGATAAGAGTTTTCTTCAACTGGCTATGGCGGCTCTGCACCCACACAACTCACTGCTCGCACGCTGGATCACCCTGGATGTCCCACACGCAACACTCAGTGTTCATACGCGGCACACACACACACTGTACTACAGCTATGGCAGCGCTAGCTGCTACCCTATCGCTATACTACACTTCACTGCCCACTTCGACTTCGGGCGCACTGCAGACCTCCTCGCACAAGCTGCTGAGGCAGCACTTCCGCATGGCATCCGCAGGAATGAATGAATGGCTGGACGCAGCCTCTTGATTTATACTTCTGCCCTGCGTTGGTCTGCCCCATACCCCTTGGCCCACGATGTGCACACAGTCCCAGACGGTACTTGCTGGACAGGACCGGACTGACTAACTGGGACTACTGACTCAGCAAAGTGGTCTACCACCACTTGACCACTTGACCACTTGACCACTGACTAACTGGGACTACTGACTCAGCAAAGTGGTCTACCACCACAGGAACGAAGGCCAACTCCGAAAGGCCACTTCTAGAAGTGTCTAACTTGGCCTTTCGGTACTGTAGCAGCTACGACTTTGCCCTTTCAGGTAAGTAGCAACTACGACCTTGACTCTTCAGACATCCTACAGCTACGACTTCGGAACCGTCTAGACTCCTACCCTTCCAGTCTACAGTTCGATTCCCTTCTGAGCTGTGACCTACGAAAACCTGCCTACCACTGGCGGCCCTACAGGTCGCAGGTTCAAGTCTACAGGTTGACACTGATACTATACACAGGTAAGACGGGGAACTAGGGATCGAGCCCTGGAATCTGCATTCGCTACTGCGAACTGGTGAATACCGTTTCACTCCCGCCGGCCTAAATTCGAGGTCCTCCGAGAAAATTTCAGTCCAAGGCAGGACCTTTACCCTTCTGCTGTCTCTCATAGGCTCGGACTATATCGGGAGCTGTTTCTAGAAGTTCAGATCTTGTAAACCAGCGGTCATCTTCCGGTTCTTGATAGCTAAAATGAACCTTGTACTGTTTCTGTGGACGACCCCTACCTCCAGTTCTGAATACGTCTTCAGCCACTATGCCATCGATGTCATACCTTCCACCCATATCGGGTGGAATCATAGATCTACGGGATGGAAACTGATCACTTGTCTGACAAGGTAGTAACTTCGATGCGTGGAAAACTGGGTAAGTGTGGAGGTGTGCTGGTAATTCTATGGTGTAGGACGGTCCATCTTCGCCGCCCTTGACTTCTAGAACAGGCCACGGCCCTCTATATGTGGGCAGTAACTTCTGCGAGATGTTCTCCTCAGGTACAAATTCTCTAGAACTAACCCAGACTAAGTCGCCTACCTGAAACTGCGAAGGGCGACGGTGTTTGTTCGCTTGCTCTATCATCCTATGCTGGGCTTTCCTGAGGTTATCGACAACAGTAGCTAGTTCTTTCTCGTGCTGTACAGCAAACTCCCTGGTCCCGGGGGGCAACCTGTGAGTCTGATCGCGGTTGAGTCCCTCGAACGGTTTGCACGGTCTAAAGGACTTGTGCAGTTCATTGGGAGTGCGGCATGTAGACAGATGCACGCTGTTATTGTACGCACTAGCTACTTCGGGCAACATCTCATCCCAGTTAATCTGATCTGGTCTAATATACATGCGCAGAACTTGCTGTAGGATCTTGTTCATTTGCTCTGTCTGACCGTTAGTCTCTGGATGACGGCCGGACGAGATCAACAACTTGGACCCATATACTCCCATGAGTTCTTGCCAGTTCTGGCTGGTGAAGCGGCTATCTCTATCGCTAACTATCGACAACGGGATTCCATTCTCACTAACCCAACAGTCAAAGAATCTCTGTATGACTAAATCGGTACGTGCCTCCGAAGGCAAAGGAACAAAAACTACGTATTTACTAAATTGGTCAACTATGACCATGACTTGGCTCTTGCCATGCCTGCTCTTGACTAAATCGGTCAACTATGACCATGAGTGTCCATGAAGTCTATGGACATGAGTCTCCCGGCTGGTCCGGAATGGGTAAGGGTTTGAGAAGACCTAACGGGGCACGCGTAGAACTCTTGTTACGCTGGCAGACCTTACAACTGCGAACATACTCTACGCAGTCATTCTTCATCCCTGGCCAGGTATACGCGCGCATCAGATTGGCTAAGGTCTTTTGCCAACCAAAATGACCCTCTGTGTCATGGCATTCGCCCAAAATCAGACTACGAATCTCTTCGCTATTGGGAATGCACAGGCGGTCAAATACATTTGTCTTCTCAAAGAGCAGCCCTTCAGTAGTGCGGTAGTTCGGCTCAGTCTCTGGGGCCTCCTTGACCTTCTTAAGGAGCTCACTATAGATAGGATCCTGCACATAGGCCTCTCTAACCTTCTGTTGCAGGTCCTTCCCTATGTCGAGGTAGTGCACTATTGCCCCAAAGTAATCTGCCCTCCTACTCAGAGCATCCGCGACTACGTTGTACTTCCCTTTATCAGGCTTGAGCTCGAAGTCGTACTGATCTATTTCTGCGGCCCACCTGGTAAGCTTAGGTGTCATCTTGGCCTGCGTCTTTAACCATTGTAACGTTTCATGATCTGAATAGACTTTGAAGTGCCTCCCAAGCAAGTAGTGCTTCTAGTGGTCTAAGGCTTGCCTGAGAGCGTAGAGTTCCCTCTCATAGGTAGATGTCGCGACCTTCTCTGAAGGCATTCTGGCAGACATGAACTCTACGGGCCTATACCCATTGCCATCATCTTGCTGTAACACTGCGCCTATGTCGTATTGACTCGCATCGGTTGTGACGACAAAGGGCAAGGACGGGTCGGCGACTTTAAGGACTGGATACTCTATCAATGCCTGCTTTAACTTTTTCATGGCAGACGTGCAGTCCTTATCCCACTTCCAGATAGTTTCCTTCCTCAACAATCTGCGAAGGGGCGCAGCGATGGTGGAGAAGTTCTTTACGAACTTCCGGTAGTAATTAGCTAAGCCCAGGAACGAGCGCAACTCTGTCAGCGTACGTGGCGTCGACCAATCTCTAATCGCTGCGATCTTGCTATCCTCTGGCTTAACGCCGTCTCCGTCTAAGACGTGGCCTAAGTACAAAACTTGGGTTTTCGCCCAATCGCACTTCTTTGCATTGATCTTGAAGTTAGCTTCCCTCAGCTTCTCCAAGACCTGCCTGAGATGACCCTGATGCTCTTCGAGGGTCCTGCTAAACACTAAGATGTCATCCAAGTAAACTACAACAAATTTGTCTAACCACGGCCTAAACAAATTGTTCATACAACGCTGGAACGTAGTTGGCGCATTGGTTAGTCCAAAGGGCATCACT